TAGAGGGACATTCCAGAGAGGAATCATTTGGCTGCATAGAAACCATTCATACAGGGGTTCCTGGGTGGCTCAGGTGGTTAAGTGTCCAACTTCGGCTCAGGTCATGATCTCGCATGAGTTCTAGCCCTGTGTTAGGCTCTGTGCTGAAGGCTCAGAGCCTGGAGCCTGCTTCGGATTCTATGTCTCCCTCCCCTGCTTGCACTCTGTCTCTTTCTCTCTCAAAAATAAATAAACATTAAAAATTTTTTTTTTTTAAATTTTTTTTTAATGTTTTTATTTATTTCTAGGAGAGAGAGAGAGAGAGACAGCATGAGCAGGGGAGGGTCAGAGAGAGAGGGAGTCACAGACTGAAACAGGCTCCAGGCTCTGAGCTGGCAGTCAGCACAGAGCCTGACGCGGGGCCCGAACCCACGAACCGCGAGATCACGACCTAAGCGAAAGTCGGACGCCCAACCGACTAAGCCACCCAGGCGCCCCCATTAAAAATTTTTAAAAAAAGAAACCCTTCATGCAAATGTAAAAGGAATGTTATTCAAAATGTTCAGATTAAGTAAAATCCAAAGAGAAGGTGACCAACTAGACTCTGGAGCCATGTCGTTCCTGAGGCCCTCTGCAAGACTGCCTAGACCTCCTTCACCCTAGTGCCTGTGCATTGACACCATTCTGCTTCGTGATCCCTCCTTCCCTCTTTGTTTTTCAAGAGAGGGGATTTGAAAGGTTTCTGGCCAACCTTCTTAGTCAACCACCATTGCGGTGGGAGGGAGAACACACAGTAGAAGAACTACCTCTAAGAAGGAAGAATGGAGGCAGGAGAGGACTGATAAGCAGGTGTGCTACAGAAGCCCCTCCTATTTCATCTCTTAGTAATTGGGAAAGATTCTTATTTGCATGCCATCAATATGAATTACAAGCACAGACCTGGGGCAAGGGAATCCCTCCCAACCTGGTCATCGAAGCAGACTGAAGGGAGACCCGGTGCCGTCAGATTAGTACATACAACATTTGGGAATGCTGGAATGGGGACTAGAGAGAAAGGGCAAGAAGACATGCACATTGCAGATTAATTAAATGTTTTGAGGGAGCAGACTCCCTTGCCCTCCCTCAGACCCTATCCCAACTGTGTCCCCACCCACAGGAATGGTTAATTGGTAGGAGGTCAGTGCATTTACGTAGACTGACTCCAATTTATCTGGGAGGCAGGAAGGGCAAGGCAGGAGTGGTTGGTTGACACACTATTATACAATCATCTGGAAATCTAATTTGTGGAACCAGTAGCCATCTGTTCTATGGGTAGTGTGCCAAGGTACCTGCCAACAACAGAACAAGCTTTCTGCTGTTGGGTAACTAATTGCATCTATGGGACCAACACAGCATGAGACTCAACTCGTGGAATGTGACCCTCCACCAAATTACTATTTTTGCTTGGGTTTTTCTGAGTCAGTAAGCATAGTACAAAGACTGATACAACCACAGATGGATGGGGCGGCTGGGGTAGCCCTGCATTCCCAGAAGGGGGTAGGTCAGCAGGCATGAGGGGCAAGCACATTCCTAGAGCTGTGTGGGGGAGTGTGGTTCTGCTGCAGCCATTCTCCTCCCACTCACCCCCACCTGAGAAAACAGAGAGGACTGATTCAGTATGAATCTGGGAAGGAAGATCCGAAAAGGACTTATAAGTTGATATCAGTGGTTCCTTTTATACCTTCCAATTTTTTTTTTCTTTTTTAAGTCACCTTGTTTAAAGCCTAGAGAGAGTGGAATGTGCAGAAGGTATAAAATCAACATCTTCATCCTGTCACCCCAGATGACATGGCAGCTCCTCCTCTGTAATAAACTCCTCAGGGAAAAGATCTCTTATTCCTCCACAGCAACCAGCATGCTGGAGGAACAAGCTGGTAGTAGGCGGATTCTCCACCCTGTTCAGCAGCCCCTAACCCCCAGATCCCTGTCTACCCATAGGCAAGGGGTTCCCAGAGAGCCTGAGCAGACTTAGTCCTAGGATTTTATATGTTTAATAGATTATTGTGGGACACATTGATGGATGGATGGATGGATGGATGGATGGATGGGTTGATATCTATTTTGCCTAAAGGAACTTATTCCCAAAGTCCAAGTGACAGCACATTTTTTCATTGCATTTTTTTGAAGAATATATCAGCAACAAAAATGTAGCAAGAACACTGGTCATTGTACAGGACTCTCAGTATAGGCTACTTCTGACATTCCAATGGGACCATACACCTCCTCATACACCTCATACACCTGTCACCTGGTTTCTTTCTAACCTCTCATTAAATCCATATCATGCTGGATTGGCTCCAAGCTTTAGTGAAAAGAACCACTTCCTGTTTTCCCGACAGACCATTACCTAGCACACTGCCCATATGTGATGAATACTTCCTGCAGCCAAGAGAAGAAAAAAAAAAAAAACAAGAGATTTAACCAGCAGGAGGGAGTATGCTTAGCACTAAAGGAGCTAAGCTCCTAATAAGCAGCATGAATCAAAGGCACTTCTGACTCTCTGGTCCTCTGGGGTTCTGTGAAGGGCTGTCACATCAAAGTTGCTCCCCAACAGGCAGCCTGGTCATTAGGCTGAGCCCATTGTGAAAGATAAAGAATATTCAAGAAGATTGAATTGGCATTCCAGAGATGTCTCCATTATCCATGAAAACAGAGGTTTCTACAGGTATGGGTAATCACACAAAAAATCTTATACCTAACGGTCAATCACAGAATGGATTCTATGAGACTTTTGAGTTTTTTTAAATGTTTTATTCATTTTTGAGAGATAGAAACAGCATGAGCAGTGGAGGGCAGAGAGAGAGGGAGACACAGAATCTGAAACAGGCTCTAGGCTCTGAGCTAGCTGTCAGCACAGAGCCCAATGCGGGGCTCGAACCGTTAGATCATGACCTGAGCTGAAGTCTGACATTTAACTGACTGAGCCACCCAGGTGCCCCGAGATTTTTTTTTAATTAAAGAAGAAAGGATTATAGACTCCCTTTCTGACTATATTTTGCTTGGAAAATAGGAAAATTAAGTCTATGCCCTAGGCACACATGATCTGGGTGGCAAATGGCAGTGGAAGGAATGTTGGCCTTATTCACTATTCACTGTGATGAGAGAGGTAACATCTGCCCAGTGTTGTGATGATCAATGTCCAACAATTGGCTCTCCAATAAAAGCCCTATTTGCAGTGTTTGCCACTTTTAGTGGTGTAAATACTCGCACCATGACTGATTCCGAGGTACCAACGTATCACTGAACGTGGAGTTGGGAAAAGAGCCAGCCCCAACACACCACTACATCCACCAGAGTAGGCTTAATTCTGGTGTCAAACACCAGAAGACCCACCAGATTTGGGAGAGCTGGAATCTTACATTTTTGTGTATCTTTCACCCTAATTACATTTAAATAAGTTAATTAATTTAAATAAGAATTGGTATATCAAAAAACGATGTCACGGAACAACTAAAGAATAATTGTGTGACTTAGTTCACTATCTTGAAAAAAATACTTGTCGGTAAACTTCTCAAATTGGTATGGCTTTGATTTTTTTAAGTTTCTTTATTTGTTTTGAGAATGAGAAAGGGGGAGAAAGAGAGAGAGAGAGAGAGAGAGAGAATCCCAAGCAGGCTCTGCTCTGTCAATACAGAGCCAGATGTGGGGCTCCATCTCACGAACTCACTGGAAGGTTAACTGACTGAGCCACTGAGGAGCCTGAGCATTGATTTCTAAAGGTTTTCAATGACATTTTATACGTAGCAGAAATTACAGTGCTGGAAAATTGCACTAAAGTGATCTATCATTAACAGAATTCTAGTATCATCTCTAGATTTATCTTAACTTCGAACCTTAGGTGATGTTAAGAATAATAAGAATTTTTTCAGGATCTTTCATTTATATTTTATTCTCAATTCTATTGACAAAGCTTTACCAAAAAACCATACTTTTTTTTATAGGTATCTTTGAAAGTGTCTGATAGCATTTGTTTTGTACAAAGGAGGAAGGTAAAGAGGTAGTTTCCTTTTTTTTTTTAATTCTTTTTATTATATATATATATATATATTTTTTTTTTTTAGGTAGTTTTCTCTTCAGGAGAAATTGGGTACAGATGTAACTGAACAGCAAGGCAGAATTGTTTTGTTTATAGTCTATATATTTGATCTGTAAAAGTCTCTTCCAGGTCTGGAACTCTATGAGTCTTCATTTCTATTTGAAAGCCTAAGAAATGTCTCCTTGATGTGGTGCTAGCTGAAACCTTCAGTGGTGACCATTTCCTCTGTAAGGTTCTATTGAGTACCGTGGCCACAAGCTTGAAATACATAAACTGGCCCCTCAGGGGTCTTCTTCCTGGGAAAGCCCACAAGATCTTCCCTTCTCCAACCAGACAGTCACCATCAGAAGTCATAAGAAGTGGTAAGAGAAATAGAAATGGACTAATGCAGTTTTTCTATGTCAGGAAATTGATGTTAGTCCCCTGGAGCTAACCTCCAGGGAAAAAGTAGAAGCTGGTGATATGGAGTGAGTCTCCAGGGCTAATGCCCCAAATGGCTAATCTCTCCCATCTTTTAGCTGAAAGAACGGTAAGACTTCCTGGGCCAGGTGTGCCTAGGAAATTGCTCACTTCCGTAATTCAACAGCGCAGCCCTGTTGCCCCGCGCCCCCCACCCCCCACCCCAGTCTAGAGGCTGTCTCTTCACTCATCACTGTCCAACCCCAACTCCTGGGAAAAGTCAGATGCCCATCTCCCTAAATCAGGGGCCCCTTTTACTTCCACACATTTGCCTTTGTTAGGTTCTGGGAAAAGAAACCACTTTAGACCTTTGTTCAAAATTCATGTATTTCAAATGTATTTTTTACATGGTCAAATTCTACTTTAAGCTGGCATTTATTTAACTCATTTTTCTAACGGACTAAAGGCTGCTTCAAAAAGCAGAGTTAGCTGATTCTCATCTAGTGATGGTTGCTAGGAAACCATTCTATGGCAAATTGGAATCACACAGGCTCCGACTTCCCCATCTTGAGAACTCCTATAGCATTAATGTAGGTACAACTCATTCAATGATGAATCAGCACTATCCAGTGATATCTTTTCTTTCTTTCTGTTAAAGTGTTATTTAAATAATTAACTTTTACCTATTGTTTCTGTCTTAGCTTCCCACTTACTCTTTAAACTCTCGGTGAAGAAGTCCTTATGCACATACGCCGGTCTCGCCCCGTTCCCAAATGCTTCAACACCAGCACTTAACCAATATGCATTGATTGCATTTGAAGGGAGGTGGTCACATGGGAGACATGCCTTCAGATTGGAAAACGAACAGTCCAAGGTAAGTTTCACTGATAATTAAATGCATTCTCAAAGCTCTTTTCTTTCTTTGGCTTATATTTCTGTTCTCTGCTTTTAAATTTGAGGCCACACTAGGAAAACTTGCTGGGTATTCAAGAAGTGGTTATGGGAACTGGTGCAATTTCTTTGTAGAACAACTTAGCACTAGCTGTTAAAGCTGAAGACTTACATATGCTACGACCCGAAGTCCATTACTAGAGGTATAAAATCCTCACACAGCAGGAGATATTCACCAAAAAAGTTCACTTTGACATTGTCCATAACAGTTAAGTAAATACAATAGTTAAACAACAGCAACAAATAAATGTCTGTCAAAAAAAAGAATAGATAAAATTGGAGCTCCTATAGCACTCTGTTTATACTCTAAAGGTGACACTATCCTATCATTCTCACTACACAACAGTGTAACACACCATGCATGCTATCGAATAGTTAGATGAGCTGGGACTACAGGTGTTACCATGGTAAATCACTGAACAAAACAAATCTATTTGCAGCAAAATGCATAGCATTTATATACCATTTTTATATATATACCATTAATCTTTTATATATATATACCATTAATGGTATATACCATTTATATACCATTCAAGGCCATTTATATAAAGTTTAATAGATGTTCGACCAAATTGTGTATGAATACATTATATAGTAAAAATGTACAAATATTTAGAGGACTAAATTCACTAAATTTAGTACAGTGGCTATCTTTGAGGAGGGGGGAAAGGAAGGGTCAGGGAGGGCTATACAATTTTTCTATCATGTTTTATTTATGAGAACATGTATTTGAAGAAAGTATAGCAAAATGTTAAGACTGGACAAAGCTGGATGGTAAGAGCATGGATCTTACATAAAAAATACATATGTCAGGAGTGTCTTGGTGGCTCAGTCACTTAAGTATCCCACTCTTGATTTCAGTTCAGGTCATGATCTCACTGTTTATGAGATCGAGCCCCACATTGGGCTCTTCTGATCTCCCTCTCTCTCTCCTCTCTCTTCTCTCTCTCTTCCTCTGTCTTTCTCAACATATAAATAACATAAACTTTAAAAAATACTGTATCAAACATTTTTTAAAAATATATAGGGTTGTCATATTATCTATCCTCCATGCTTTTTTTGGTGTCTGATACATTGCATTTTCTTTCCAAACATTTATTTTAGGGTTACCGAAGACCTAAAATTCTTTTGCTAGGGCAGGTCATCACTGCATAAAGTTGGCACAATAGAAAGCACTGAGGCATTTTCAGCTCAGGGAATGTAGGTCCTCCCGATTTAGATGGATCCATTCAGAGTTTGATCTACTATTAGGAAATTCACACACACTAGGTCTTTTAAATGCTGACAATGAAACAAACAAAAAAGGTCAGACAATGAGTCATGCTTTTTTAAATATAGTAGATAATCAATCTTTCTTTGTTTTGTTTGAAGAATAGCTAATTATACAAGCAGTGCATCACTTTGGCAGCTAACCATGCCTGGAGCAATGGCTCTGAAGCAGTAACAAGCATAAAAATCACCTAGGGTGCCTATTAAAATGCAGGTTCCCAATTCCCTCCCCTCCAGTCCCTGCCCTGGGCTTCCCTGCCCCCATGCCAGGTGCTAATCAGTACACCAAGGTTGGGACCCTGTCATTTCCACTTCTAGCAATCACACCCACTAATTCCGATGCAGCTGGTCAGCGAACAAGATGACCCTAGCGTAAAGCAAGATTCTCCCAGGCAGCCTATCCCATCCAGGAAGCAGAGAACATCAGTGATTCTGATTATGAGAACACACTGCAAGCATTGCAGGTGTCACAGTAACATTAGCAAATAAACAGCTCCCTGAAAATCCAAATCTGTAAAATTATCACATATAACACGCTATTCAGCATTCATTCATTCACCAGATATTTATTGAATGTTATGTGCATAGTACTTCTTTTCCTTAATTGTACTCTATGTTAATTTCTTGGCACATAAACATATGTAAAATTTTACATAAATGCATAAATATGGTCTGCTGATTCATCATCTTGGCTTTCTCCCCCCCCCCCCCCCCCCCCCCCCCCCCCCACGCTCCCTTGCAAAGTCGAACTGATGTGCCAGGAATTTTTTTTAATGTAGGCTTTTTTTGTCCTTTCCTTTGTTTAACCACCCTCCCACTTTCCTCTTCCTTCCATCCATGTTAGCTGCCCTTTGCTCAGATAATCCATGTTAACACCCTATTATGTACCCTCCCATATACTCCTTTTATGCTCATATGATCTTACCCAGACATATATGCCCATAGAGCCAAACATAGCATATTGACGTGTGCAGATGACTCAGCACAGTAAAAGACAGAGTCTCTCTCTGCCAGGAGCTTACCATCTTTTGGGGGATACAACGCGTATATATGAAAATATTAACACAAGGCAAAGGAAGAAAATTCACACAAGTGGAACAGTACTATAGTTGTATAGTGAAAATATATATAGAAAGGGCCAATTATCATCTTATGTGTTACAGGCTTACCAAAGGCAGAAAATAGAAGCTGTAAGAGATCACTGTCATTGCCTCCATGCCTTGCTTGGATCACCAGGATCAGAATTTGCTTAAAACCTGGCTTCTGTGTGTGCAAGAGATGCATTCTCCCAGGTTGACAAGGAAATGTCCCACCCTTAGAGGACAGAGCTGAGGGGAGAGTCCCTCACCAAGTGGAGCTCCCAGACCCCAGGAGCATCTTGGGTCTGAAGCAAGGTGAAGGTCAGGCAAGCAAAGGCACTGTGTTTAACTTAGCAAATGCCATGGTGATATTTGCAGGCACAATCATGCAAATGTTATTTGCTGTGAGAAATGCATTTCCAAAACAGATGCTTCCCACCATCTATCCACTTGGCTGCCTTGAAATGAAGCAATTCCTTTCTCAGTCTCCCAGGAGGGTGCTAGTATGTTGGGGGTCTGGGACTGAGACTTGGCAGGCAATGTAAAGGAACAGCTAAAATCCTCGTCTTGGCTGGCAAAGCGGGCTTCTGCCTTGAGCATGGTAGACCTTGAATTTGCAGGCTTTGAAGGGCACAAGTCAATCCCCACCTTCCAGGTTTGCCCTGTGTCCTGACCGAGAAGGGAAGTGGGGCTTTGGGTAGAAACCTTAGTGAACACAGAATTAGAGCTCAACAAGAGCACTGAGGGACCAAATAGATCAGCAAGCAGCTCCCATCAATAAGGCAAAAGTAGACGGCTTTCTAGTTGACACTTCTCAGTTCTCCCTGTGTCCTAAGCAGCTTCATTTTCTTTGGGTGGCTTTATTTTTGCAGATCCTTGTGGCAAAACAGGAATGTTGGGTCATAGGGGGCTCCCCAGTCCTTAGCTGGTCCAGGTATCAAATGGAAAAATAAAGAAATCTGATAGGCAAAGAAACTTATACCATGGCTTTTGCTACTTTTAAGGTTAGCCCTGTATCCACTCAATGGGGATAGTAAAAATTCACTCATATCCTCTGACAAATAGCTATTGGAACCCTATCAAGTAAGGTGATATAATTTAAAAGCCACTGAACTTGGAATTGAATACTTAGATAGTAGCACGTGGCACAGTGATAAGAAAATGAGACATCAGTAAGGCACATGCTCCAGATCCACCACCTGCTCCCTGGATGACTCCAGGTAGGTCCCTTAACCTCACAGAGGCTTCATTTCTTGTCTGTAGAAAGAGAATATGAAGATTTTCCCCCTTACCTCCCCTGACTGATGTGAAGATCAGGCATGGTGATGACCACAAAAGCATTTTGAAATGGCAAATGACCTAAAATGATAAGGTCTTTATGGCACTGGACCAAACCTTCTGCTATTAAAGATGTGCAAGGAGCCTACAATGAGGCCTCAGGAGAGATGGAGCATGTAGTGAAGACATCAAGGCAGTGTCTAATTACCTGCTAAATGGGGTGGAAAACAAAGGGCCTCAGTCATCAGAGAAGCAAGTAGTAACTGGCCTACAAGATACAGTTTTAGGGGCGCCTGGGTGGCTCAGTAGGCTAAGCATCCAACTCTTGATTTTGGCTCAGGTCATGATTTCACAGTTCGTGAGTTCGAGCCCCACGTCTAGCTCTGCACTGAAAGCATGGAACCTGCTAGGGATTCTCTCTCTCACTCTGCCCCTCCCACCCACCCCCCTTGCAAAATACATAAATAAACTTTTAAAAAGAGATACAGTTTTAGAGAGAGGTTGGGAGTGAAGTCAGTCCTTAAGAATTTAAATAACTAGACAGTAAACCCAGGTGAACATGAAACATCCAGATGGCTTTACCGATGAGTAGGAAAAAATCATCTGCACCCTTAATTTGGGGATTGTCTATGAAACTGAACTCAAGTTGTCCCCCAACTAAAGGGCCTCTACGTGTCCTCTGCTGATCCTCAGCCCCCACCTCCCTTTGAGGTGAGAAATAATGAACCACAAAGAGTCCTTCAACCCTTCATGCCCTCGTACTTCCTTCACCAGGTTTGTCCTACCAGGAGCCAATGATATGAAAGATGTTCTATAATTTTAAAAAAATCAAGCAGTAATTGAGCCTCCTCCAAGCTTCTGTGTACCAGTACAGGGTGTAAATGACAGGTGTATATGAGTATCTTTTCTCTACTTACTATTTATTCAGTACTCCATATATAGATGGCTGCCAACCAATTTTTCATATTAGCATGAGATAACCAGTGTTACCATGCCAAAGTAATGATATAATTCTAGCCAGAAGGCAAAGAAACTTGACATTTCCGTTAGCACATACATTATTATCTGAGTAAATGTGCGATGTTCAAGAGACTTTCTGAAATACTGAAAAACTGGAACTATCTCTGATGTGACCCTGGAAGTCCAGATCTCTAGGTCAGTAATCACTTTTCTAGAAGGCAATTTATAACATCAATCTGTCAACAACAGAAAGGTTCAAAAACTGCCTTGACTACCTTTACCCATGATGCAAGCATGACACTCAGAAGGGACATGAAGATGACCTGATGTTCAATCTGCAAATGAATATCAGTGATGTTCATTTGGGTCCCATTACTTATTTTCTGAGTGCTTCAGAATCCAAGCCCCTGTGGCAGGTGGCCAGGAAAGTTTCTTCTCAGGGCATCTCAGTGGTGAACACTCAGCTGCTTGGAGCTCTTCATTACCAAGTAGCCCAGGACCTGTGCTCCTCCATTGTTGGGAACTGTTGCGTCTCCTCTCTTGGCCATCACCCCTGACACTTTCCTTCCTCCCATGCTCTCTAGCCAGGCACCTCAGTTAGCTCTCCATCCCAGCTCCTGGCAGGAGTCGATGCTGAGTTTCTTCTAGGCCAAGAAGTAAACTAGATGGGTTGGACCACGTCTAGTCCACTCACTCATTGAGCTGACTTTGCCCAGGACCACACAGCTCTGGGAGAGTGGAGCTGGGTCCGGCATTCAGTTTTCCTTCTTCCCAATCCACTTCTCTTTCCATTTCTTCTTTGGAAGGCAGAAATGTTAATGTCTTGGTCTAAAGTAAAATGAAACTTCGAAATTCTATCATGGTTTTCTTGGGGCACCTGGGTGGCTCAGTCGGTTAAGCATCTGACTTCAGCTCAGGTCATGATCTCACAGTTTGATTGGCTTTGAGCCCTGCATCAGGTTCTGTGCTGACAGCTCAGAGCTTGGAGCCTGTTTCAGATTCTGTGTTTCCCTCTCCCTCTGCTCCTCTTCTACTCTCTCTTTCTCTCTCTCTCAAAAATAAATAAACATTTAAAAGAAAGAAATTCTATCATGGTTTTCTTAAAGCAATGTGGGTTTTTTAGATTATTTTTAATTTTTAAGTAATCTCTACACCCAACATGGAGCTTGAACTCATAACCCCGAGATCAAGAGTCACAGCTTCACCACCAAATGAGCCGGCCAGGTGTTCCTTAAAGCAGGGTTGTAATGACAGGTTTGGGGTTCTAATGGGGAATATAGGAAAATAAAAAGTGGAGTATATTGGAACATTTCTAATAAAGATCAAAGAAGTAGATACTCTGAATTTCAAGAACCAGTGCCAATAACCCAGGCAGGAAGATGCTTAGAGAAGAGAAGAGGAGAGAAGAGTTAGTCACTGGTAGAAATACCTCTTGAGCAATGTTGTTATCAGCCGGGGGTGGGGGGTGGGGGGAGGGATGTGTCTCCTGGGCAGTCCATCCTACAGGAAGGATTATTGCTTAGATGGCTGGTATGGGTCACCCTGCACACTAGCATCTGCATGTGTCCTGAGTCCTCTTTGAGATCAGTAGAAATTCTTCCCCTCAGGCTCAATCCCCCTAAATAACTGATAGCAGACATTTAATCCGCAGCACCAAGACCCAGCCCGAAGGTAGGACTAAAGCAGCCTCACAGGGGCTGTCATTGGGTCCCCTCATCTGCACTGGGAGTCTTTAGCACCAAGGACCCCACAGGAAGGCAGTAGAGGGCAGCGGATAAGGGCATGGGCTCTGGTATCGGAGCCTCGAACTGCTGTGTGACTGGGGCAAGTGGTTCAGCCTCTCTTAGTCTGTGTCCTCATCTACAAAGTGTTGGCGGTGATAATAATAATAAGACCTACTTCAGAGGGTCATTGTAAGGATTAAATGGTGCTTAGCACAGCAGCTGGCACATTGTAAGTACTCCATAAACGTTAGCTGTTGCTATTAATACCCAGCAGGCGTCCACTGTGTTGGTTTGGCAAGGACACTGCCCTGTGCTTTGCAGGACTCAAAGGCAGTTTTCCCCTCTTATTGTTCTCTCAGCACTCTGACCAGAGACTCCAGAGCCCCTGTGATGTCATTCTATTAGTCTCTACAAGATGGGATCAGAGGACATCCTGCCTGCACGGTGTCTTAAGCCCACAACACCAGCCTGTGGGCTTGCCTATCTCTCTGGGGGGCTAGGAGCTCAAACTTCAATCACCTATAAATGGCAACAGATCAGGAAGCAAAACCAATGTACCCCATGTCACTGTGGTTCTTCCAGGAGAGGGAAACCCTTTGATGGCCAAGGGGGAGCCCCTGATTCTAATCTCTGTTGTGGCCAAATCCCAGGGTGGTGGAGTCTCGCTGCTTAATGCAGTGGGGACAGAAGATCTAACTGGAGAGAAAGTGTCAGCGAGGGCTGCCCTGGCCTCTCAGACCCCTTCCTTCACCTCTCCCACAGGGAATTGACTGGAAAACACTGATTTAGTATTCATGACACTGGTTTAATAACGGCTCTTGGAGACAACTGGGGTGGCTGTGACTCCAAAGCCCTCTTGAGCATTGTTCTAAGTTGTTTTCTTTTCTGGAAGCTTCCAGAGCAGTCAAGCAATTATTTCTCTGCAAAATCCAGGAAAAGCTGAAGAGATAGACTCCCTAGGAAAGAAGGACTCATTCTGTGGAAAAGCAAGAATGAGGTGAACAAAGAGCATGAAGATTACATTTGGAAAGGAGCTTATAGATGATTTGTATTTTACAGATGAGGAAACCAAGACTTAGAAAGATGAGGTGTGTTTGCTCAGGTCACAGCCAGTTGGAGGCAGACACGAATTAGTAACAGAAATAATATGGCAGCCAGTGCTTACCTAGAGCTTACCATGTTTCAGGCTTTCAGGGCTTCACGTGGGCCTTGAGCACATCATTTAACCTCTCTGAGCCTCAGTTTCCCCATCTGTGAAACGAGGATAATAATAGTGTTTTCCTGAACTTTATAGGATCATTGCAAGGATTAAATGAGTTCTCCTTGGGTGGATCTTCCTTCTTACTACTACTACTATCAGGAAAATGAGGATCAACCTATTACTGTAGGTTGATGTCTGGGAGGAGTGAAGGAGATGGGTCTCTCAGAAAGAAAGGGCAAACAAAGTCTATGGTTATTTAAAAGACAAAGGCAATGCCTTCACCAGCCAAAACAAGTGTGGTTAACACCTCTGGCAAGAAAGCAGCTGTGACCCTCCACAGGAGGGCAGCAGTGTCATCTGGTGAAAAAGGTGACTCAAACCACTGCCGGCAGAAAAGTCCCACCTGGCCACAAGGGAGATGGTGGGCAGCCAAGGAGATGGCCGCCGTGAGGAAGGCCAGGCATGCCCTGGAGACAGGAGCTGGAGAAGGAAGAAGGAACAGGCAGGGATGGGAGAGCTTTGGGTGGCCTGGAGCCAGGGGGCAGGATTTCCTGCTGGGAAACTTCCCACAGGACAAAGGACAAGAGTCTGGATGGTGAGGGGTATGAAAAATCCACCAAGAAGATAAACATTAAAGAAAATTCAGGCAATCGAAATGAGGGTTTACCTTTGTGAGTTTACAGTGTCACCTCGCTTATTAAAGAGTTTTTTCCCACCATACATCTCTGCAGAATTTCTCACCTATCAGCTCCAGCAGCCTGCTTTGGGGTCCATCGAAGCACTTAAACTGGTTAAATACTGGGTGAGGATTAAGGG